TAATAATAATAAAAGTTATCCCACCCTCAAGGCAGGATTTAGTCTGCTATTCCAAGAAAGCTGGATAATCCATAGTACTGGTAGATAATAGTTCATGCTTGAAGTAATATATTATTTTGTCATCTTTCCCTACTCTAGGACGATAGCTACAGTGAATTCATGCAGGAGGCTCAGAATAGCTCTTTTACATCAATTTCATCGGAACCTGTTATTTCCAAAGAGATTCCAGTCAGAATGACATCTCAAAGTCCTAAAAACTGGGAAGACAGAGGACAGGAAAAGCAAACCAACGAAGAAGCACCAAGTACAGAAGATTCCACTGTGATGGCGGGAAAAGCAAAGAAAATTCATAAAAGTCTTCTGCCTACTTCTTGCTTGTCTCCAACAGGAAGCATACGTGACCCCTGTAAGGAAATGTCTGGGATTAGAAGTCCATTAAGAGCTTCCATAAGTAGAAAATCCCTCAAAGAAATTCCACAGGAGAATTCAGATCTGATATCCCAGACTTCTGTAAGTGTTTTGGGGAAAAATATAACAGCTTTCTATATAGTTTGGGGGAAAAGGTGACACTTCATGTTGTTTGGAGGGGGGGTTATGACTCACACATGTGGATTCTCCCCCTGAAAAGAGCCTCATTTGGAATATTGTAGTTGGAATATTGTAGAGCTTTGTATGCTCTTGGCAAGAATTTTGCCCCTACTCTCCTAATCGGCATATAGTTGCTCACCTAATAGATTCCTTTCAGTTATGCTAAAGAAAACATGATAGACCCATTGAAGAGATGGCTTTCGGGGTCTTTTTTATTATGTAAAAGTAGCGGAGTTATTTGGAGGCATTCTGTGTGACTGATTAAAGCCAATACTGTATGTATTTGGAGCAAAAAGGAGAGAAAGGCCCTAGATTGTTGTAAAATCAAAAGCAAGGTTTAATTTTCAACTACTTACAAATAGTGTGCATATATAAAAATCCATGTAATTCAGCTCAGGTTCAAAAATGGACAGCATTGTAGTCCCCAGCTGCATGTGTTCTGTGAGGCTCTGTACATTCGGATGGGCATGAGTTACAAGAAGCTGGCCGGGCAGAGATTCTGAACACAGTAAATTGTGTTGGAATTGTATGCTATTGCTGAAATAGCCTAATACAACTGCTTCTCTGACAAGAACAAAGAAACTTATGATAGTATAGAAACAATTTTTTTAATGCTCATGTTTTTCATCTGTCATAGCTGATCAATCAACAATTGATACATCAACATTTCTGAAGGGGTGACTTGGGATTAGAACATTTGTGGCAATCCTTCTTGTAAAAATTCCTATTATATAAGTGCAATCTGTCCAATTGCAATTTGTCATTTGGTACAGTGATAGCAGTGAAGAAAAAACATAGGCAGAAGGACTAATCAGCCAATAATACATGCAGCTTGTAAAAAAACGCCAGGAAGTTTCTAAAGACTCAGGGTGTAAGTGTCTCGGAAAAGCTCCCTAAGCAATTGTAGAAGGGAAAGAATATTCTTAATATTTGTGGGCTTTCTGTAAGTTTCTCATTAGCAATTATAGGACCAGACTGCTAAAATGTATAGATCTGCTCCAACATAGCTGTTCTTAAATCCCTACATTAACTGATTTTTTCATTTTAGTTGTTACCTATTTGTAATCTATCAAAATCAATCCCTATCAACACTTTAAAAATTGGAGCTTTTTGAAGTGTGATTACTTCAGGAAGTTAAGTGGCCCAGCGAATATTACATAAGAAATACATTGGCTGAAATCCTGTTACTTAGTGTAGAGAATTTCAACTGGAGGAGTCCTATTGAATCAGTGGGGATTTGGTGAACAAGATCCTTAATAAATTCCATTGATTCAACAAGCCTAATCTAGTTGCTACTTACTGTGCTAAGCAGTAGGATTTCAGCCATTGTGTACAACTGCCTAGAATGGTCTTGTAGACCAGATGGGCGGGGTATAAATCAAATGAATCAAATAAATAAAATAAAATAAAATAAAATAAAGGAAATGGTTGTTCTGGGTTTATTGTATTACATGAAACAAAAGCACCTTTGAAAAACTTTTGCTCAGGAGCAATGAGGGTTTTCTGATCTTTTTGTGTAAGAAAAACAACACAGTCCCATTGGTTGTTCTGGGTTTTTCAGGCTCTTTGGCTGTGTTATGAAGGTTGTTCTTCCTGACGTTTTGCCAGTCTCTGTGGCCGGCATCTTCAGAGGACAGCAACCTGTGCTCTGGTGTAGTTGGCTTGGGAGTGCAGTATTTATGGCTGTGAGATAGGCTTTTGTCTTTTTCTGTAGATGGGTGATTAGTGTGTATTGTTGTGGGTGTATTGTGCTAAGGAGAAGAGATTAGCTGTTCCTGTGGTTGATGGGTGTCATTAGCTGGTCTTTTGTGTGTAGTGATCCCCTGTCCTTGTGGCTGGGTAGAGTTCGTTGACCTTTTGCACGTTGTATTTTTGAGAGCTGGGAGCCAAGTTTTGTTGAGCCTCATATTTTCCTCTTTTTTTGTTGAAACTGTGCTGGTGCTTGTGGATTTCAATGGCTTCCCTGTGCAGTCTGGCGTAATGATTGCTGGTGTTGTCCAGTATTTCAGTATTTTGAAATAGAATTTCAAGTCCAGTTTGCTTCAGGGCATGTTCAGCTACTGCAGATTTTTCTGGTTGTTTTAGTCTGCAGTGTCTCTCATGTTCTTTGATTCTGGTGTGGATGCTTCGTTTTGTGGTTCCAATATATACCTGGCCACAACTGCAAGGTACACTTGACAAAAACGAAGCCCGAAAAACCCAGAACAACCATTAGATCCTGGCCGTGAAAGCCTTCACGGATAAAAGGAAGGAAAAGCCATCCACCATCTGACTGAATGCTGCCTTCTCACCTAATTAGGAATTTTTCTCCATCTCATATTTTGGAGGGAGACTCAGAGGAGTTGTTGCCATTTTCTGTACCACATGACTTGCTTGAGCCTCATGAGGGTATCTTCCCCTCAAGCATTACCATGTATATCTTAAGCAAAGACTGCTGGGGTTGTATCTGATGACTGTGTTGTCCATGGTCCATAACATGCTTAAAATTCTATATACACTAAAATATCCAGATTAAGTCAGCAACTCATTGATGGCATATTTTTCTCATGTGGCTCATTACTGAACAGGTTCATTTTTCTTAAAGTATAAGGAGTTGGTAGTGCAGTCAACAACATGAACTGTCGTTACTGCCAGTTTATATCAATGTCAGTTCTGAATGTTTTGTCTCTTTATCACACTGACAAAAGGAATGGACACAGCCCAGTTCCCTCTCATGAAATTTCACATCCCTTTCTGTAGTAAGCTTACAAAAAATACATGCTTAAGAGTAGGATGTGTGGAAAGCACTCCACTGTTACGGATTGTTTCTTGGGCTGATTCAGTGTCAGGGTTTTTTAATTCTGATTTTTCTGTCTGCTATACACTTCTGTTTAAGTAATCTTCCAGTGTTTGGGGGAAATGTATGGATTAATTGTTTCATTAGAAATAGAGAGAGTTGAAGAATCCAGACAGAAAGAAGACACATTCATTCTAAAAACTGCTGGATAGCTCACTGGTTTACTTCTGCAAACAAACTTTTGAAGTTGGTGAATTACCAATGCAGTTTTCGTTTAGAGGGCTGAATTCCTGGAGAGAATATTGACAGATTTTCAATAGCAATCTTCAGGCAAACTCATAAGATTGTTAGTCTCTGCACTTCATAGTGTCTCTGCAGTCATCCAGAAAAATAATAAATGATATGATTGAATGCTAAGAGTAAGGTAGTGTCATATACCAAATCCCCAGACTGTTTGAGGGATGATGCTTATGTCCATCAAATGGATTCTTCTCCCTTATGTGGATTTATTCCCCACCATGTACTCTAATTACAGCAATAGTTATTTATGCAAGAACAGATTAGTCTTCTGCAAATAAAATGGCTCTGCTCTGCGCCTTTCTGAACAGTTAACATATCCCCCTCAAGTTATATGTTAACTTGTCTGTTCTGACAACAACATGGGTTGTGTGCGTTTTAAAATGGGTTGTGTGTTGTGGGGGTAGCCGCTCAGAGCTGTCAGATTCTTAAGACATTTTTTGGGGTGGTTAAATGCCTTATTGTGGAGAATATACATTTGGTTGTAGTGTCTCTTTTCTTTCTGGAACATTTTTTACTTAACTGTATATTTTAATGCAGACAGGCCCAGGCATCAAAGTCCTAACTCTGTAAGCATTCCCAGATGTAGGCCCTCTACTCTTACTCATCATGATCCTGCATCTGTCTACATGAGCAGACTCAGTCACTCCTCCTCTTTCTTAATCTCGTGCATTTATCATGCATTTAGCACATTTGGAAGATGTATCTTTATATAGACATTTATTTATTTATTTAAAATATTTTTATCTTGCCGTTCCCTTTAAAAAGGATCTGTATGGCCAAAGAACCCAGTCCACAACCATCCTGCGCAATTCCCAATGGGACTGGAAATTGCCAGAATAAAATAAACAGAAGACAGATTATCTATATTTTATATATGTCCTCATAAAGCAACAGTTTGTTGATGAACCAGAAAAAGGATCCTGGGATCGGTCTATATAGCTTAATGAAAACATTGTGCAGCAATGTGCATCTGCTATGGTGAAAAAAAAACACCTCTGTATCAAGTGATTTTGTTTGTTTGTTTAGTCATGTCCGACTCTTCGTATCAAGTAACAGAAATTAATAATAACCCCGCCCATACTATAGTGCAAAGAACCTTGGAATAGCACCTACACTTCTACGAACTGAACCTCAGAAAAGATATTGTTGCACTTCATGAAGAAGTGCGGAGGATGTCAACATGAGTAGCAATCCAGTGAAACAACTATTGGATAAATAAATGTTATATGTGGTTGTCTGGCTCTGACAAAAGTAGGAAGGGGAGACATAAATTATGTCAGGTATAAAAACTATGAATCGGAAATTTTTTTAGTCCTCTCTCTCTGACAAAAGTAGGAAGGGGAGACATAAAATTATGTCAGGTATAAAAACTATGAATTGGAAATTTTTTTAGTCCTCTCTCATATTACTGAAATGTATTGGTCTAGCATTGATGTCATCCGTGGAGCTGAACATGGAAAATGACAGATTCAAGATCAAGACTGAAAAATGGCAGATTCAAGATTGACAAAAGAAACAACATTTTTAAAGGTCCTATAGTTAAACTATGGGACCTGTAAAACCGTCGCTTTGTCCCAGCTCCTCGCCAGCCTAGCAGTTCGAAAACATGCAAATGCGAGTAGATAAATAGGTAACACTTTGGTGGGAAGGTAAAACTGTGTTCCCTAGTCACACTGGCCATGTGGCAATGGAAACTGTATTCGGACAAGCGCTGGCTCTACAGCTTGAAAACGGGATGAGCACCACCCCCTAAAGTCGGACACGACTGAGCTGACAATGTCAAGGGGAACCTTTACCTTTACCTTTACCTATGGTTAAACTCTCTCAAAGAGTTTTGAGAGAGCAT